AGTGCTGTGATTTTTTTTTTTTTTGAGAAGAGGACTCTCAGCCTTACAAGATTGCATTTTCTAGTTTCTTATTGCATCCTGTTTAGACAGTTTTCTTAATTTATGTCAACCTTTCTTTTTTTTCCCTCTGTTGTAGCCACTTTATTTTTTCTTCTGTTCCTTGCTCATATTCCATCCTTATTCCTCTCTGCCTCCTCTTATTCTTATTTTTTAAATTTATTTATTATTTCTATATTAATTACAGTTTATTTACTTTGCATCCCAGCTGTAGTCCCGTCGTCCCTCCCTCCCTCTCAATCCCACCCTCCCTCCTTCAGCTCCTTCCTGCCCCTCTCTAAATCCACTGATAGGGGAGGTCCTCCTCCCCTTCCATCTGATCCTAGCTTATCAGGTCTCTTCAGGGCTGGCTACAATGTCCTCCTCTGTGGCCAAGCAAGGCTGCTCCTCCCTCGGGGGTGGGGGGAGGTCAAAGTGCCAGCCATTGAGTTCATGTCAGAAACAGTCCCTGTTCCCCTTATTAGGAGACCCACTTGGATACTGAGCTGCCATGGGCTACATCTGGACAGGGGTTCTAGGTTATATCCATTCATGGTCTTTGGTTGGAGAAACAGTCTCAGAAAAGACACCTGGGCCCAGATATAGTTGGTTCTTGTGGAGCTCCTATCTTAAGTGGGATAAGGTATGAGAGATAAAGTTGTATGAGCAATTTTTGTTTTGCTCCATTGAATGGACCCTCTGTCACTTGTGACTGACTCTGACCTAACAAAGGAGAAGGTAAGCCCTCATCACTGCTTTGTAGCTGAAACAGAGGTCCTGGCTGACAAGGAGGCTTGCCCAACTGACATAGGCTGGGAGCAGCAAGAAGTTTAGAGCCCTAAGTAAACATTCTTCCTGTGCAGCACTCCCGAGTGCCTGCTGCAGAGCACCTTAAGGACACAGTCTCCCAGTTAGTAGCATAGTTAGGATATACCAGTTTTTAATTGTGCCAGAAGATCAGTCACCACAAGAAGGGTAGACCCAACCTAAGTTGAGAATGTGACCTTGGAGAGCATTCTGAGTGTAGAGTTAGGTCTACCAACTATTTTGGCTTGCCTAGGATTCTCCCAGCGTTAACGCTGAAAACTTTATGTTCTGAGAGATTCCTCAGTTGAAGGAAGACCTTGTGACTGATCACTTCATGTCTCAGTCAGCAAGCCGAATCAGAGCCATAGCAACACATTGGCATGCTAACCAGTGAGCAGAAATGATCAAATTCTGGGTGTTTCAGAGGTGTGGTTGGGAAGGAATGGAAATGGATTTGATTTTTGGCTGAAGGCAACTTAGCCAAGCAAAGATTAGTAAAAATACCATGGCCAAAGCAATCTTGATTAGTTGAAACAGTTTTTGAAAAGAAAATGAAGATTTAAATCACTGGCTTTTAAATTTATGTCAAATAACAGTAAAAGCAGGGAGATGGCCAGGTGGTTTAGAAAATGTACAGCTCTTGCAGAGTTAGATTCCAAGCACCTCACAACTACCTGTAACTTCAGCTTGAGGGGTTCCGTGCCCTCTTCTGGCTTTCATGGATTTCCATTAGCACATGTTCATACCCCACACAAACATAAGCATAAATACATATAATTAAAAGTACATCAAATACATAAATAGTAATAGCTAACACCCCTGGTTACTAAGCACATGACAGTGTGACACCTTGCTAGATCTGACAGCTATTAACGCGGTAATATTTTCAGCCATCTTACGAAACAGATTGTTTCAATAAAGGTATTGTAATTATTTTATCATATTTATTAAAATGTCAAAAACATAAAATGTTTACATGTTTATTAAAGATATTTCTTTTACAGATGAGGACGTTAATATTTGGAAATGTTAAGCTATCAATCACATAGCTCATCAGTCTAGAAAGAAACTTTAAACCGTAGGCATCCCAAAACGCTGTGTTCCTTCCAAGAAGCTATGTGGCATCACTTCCTTGTATAAAGGAACAGGGCTTTAATTAGTTTTCTTATGCTTTACTACGGAAGCAATATATTATTTAATGATTTAACTAATTTAATAAAACTGTAAAATATATACCAACAGAAGGGAATTCCAAAGCAAATGGTTTGTCTGCCATTGTAGCAGGCCTCAATGTGGTAAGGAACATGTGGGGGAAGCAAAGAAGGGGCTGGATGGGTCCAGAGTGCCAGGTGGTCCCTTTGAGGGCATACCCCTAGTCAACCTTCGGCACCTCGACCTCAGCTCCTAAAGGCTCCACCCTCTCTCAGTAGCATAACATGTTGGAGAGCAAGCTTTCCACATGTGGGCCATAGGGAGACCTTCAAGATCCTCACTGTATGGTAGGCCAGGGGGAGAGAAAAGAGTGTGATCTTAACACTATGGGGCCAAATGCATGCAGAAGAGGAAGCTATAGGTTTTGGTAATGGTGTGAACCATATACAGAATAATTTTCCCCATTTCTTAAGCAGATGCATGTAACCTCTGTAGCTGCATTTCTCATTTTATAACGTGGCCAAGCACCTCAGATTATGAAGTGCTGCCATTGCTTTTATTAAATGTCTAGTAAATATTAAACCCTGTTTTCATTACAGAACCTCTCGTAAGCAGGCATCCCTCAAAGTTATAGTTTAATATGTTATCATGTCTTAAAATTAAAGATTATCTGTTACTGTTTAAACCACCACAAAGTGACTGATATTGCAGAGAGTGGTTTCAATAAATTTTCATGGATTTGATCAGATAAGCACTAAGATTTATGATTGTGTCTGAGGCCTCCATTAGGGACTCTGCAGGTGCTTAGAAAAACTAAACTGGGAAAGCCCTGGTTCTGATTTAGTCTCTTCTACTGACTGTCTGTGTCCCTTTGTTTCTTTATTCTTGTTACATCACAGGTAGTAGTTTATACAAACTGCCTCATTATTTCCTAACTAGAAATAACTATGTTTCTAGGAGTATGGATGTTCTGAAACATGGTCTCATCAACTGTGACTAAACACATTGAATCTTTGAGTTTTCTCTCTCTCTCTCTTATTGTTGAATAATGATCATCATTTCTGTTATTCTCCAGGGAACTCTAAAAAGTGTGTGTGTGTGTGTGTGTGTGTGTGTATTTAATTACAAAATACACTAAATACAAAAACAGGTGGAACTTGGTAGTTCACTTTTATAATCCCAGCACTTGGGAAGCAGGGCCAGGAGAACTGTCAGAAGTTCAAGCCTAGCCTATATAGTATTAGGGGAGCTAAGTCGCTACAATGAGACCTTTCTCAAATGCTGTGCTTATGTCATTGTCAACATGACAGAATAATCAACACCATGGAAACAAACCTTTGCACATGTCTGTGAGAGCACTTTGAGAAAGTGCCACAAATGTTGTTAGACACCGTTTTCTCATAACTTAATAAAAGCAAGAAATGGAGCTGAGCACAGTATCTCTGTCTCTGTTTCTCTGTCTCTCTCTCACTTTCTCTGTCTGTCTCTGGGTCTCTCTGTCTTTGTCCCTTTCTCCTCCTCTCTGTCTCTCTCCCTCTTTCTCTCGCTGCTTCCTGACTGCAGTTTCAATATGACCAGCTTCCTCTTGCTGCCAGAGCAATGACTTCTCAGACCATGATGGATCAAATCTCAAACTGTCAGACAAACCCCTTTCTTCCTTCAGCTGCTTTGGTTACATACTTTGTCACAGCAACAGGGTTGGGGAGGTAGTTGGGGAGCTCAAGCAAAGTGATTATAGAGTAGCTCCTTTCTATTCCTGACAAAACGTGTGTGAACTTTTCAGTAGTTCCTGGGGTTTCTGCTTGGGCATAGTGCACATGTCCATCTAAACAGCCATTATACACCCTTCCTTGCTCTTCCTTCCTGCTTTGCTTTTTTTCACTGTGCATTTCAACTTCAGCGTTAATGCGCTTTCCAAATAAAGAAGCCTTCATTCTGTGCTTTGGGCTTTATTGAATTTCACTCCTCGTAGAACTTATTTTCCTTGCCCTTTCCTCATTTTGTCCATGAGGAGGTTTCAATAAATTCAGTCTGTGCATTTCTTGTGTTTATCTTCAGCAACCAAATTAGGAACTGTCTCAGGGAGACTCCTCAGCTATGGGAGAAAACCCACTCTGGGCGTTTCTCCTGTAACAGCCAGCCTTGCAGCCCCAGGACTGACTTCTTTGAAGATTGGCTGAAGGCCCGGGGAGGCATTTTGAACCAATTTTATTCCAAGAGAGAGGATTCTCTGGGAATTCCTTAGGTTCTGCAGCGTTCCTCCTATGTGCCTGGTTGAAGGTCCTCCAGGGTGCTCATCTTTTCAGCTGTTACTGATTCCTGCCTGCTAGAATTTCCTTTTTAAATAAAAATAAAGGTATGCTGCTGGTTGCCTTTGTTCTTTTCCTCCTCTTTCAGTCATTTCCATAGGATAAACCAGGCCAAAGAAATGAGGTACTCAGGATTACTCAGTTAGTATCTTAAATTTCCTGTGTCTAGTGTCTTAGGTATTTCTAGTTCAGCTCTTTGGAAATTCTTTCTGAAAAGAGTTTGTTTACATTCACTTTAGTTTGTGTCAGGATTTGAAAGTTTTCTTTTCTAATTTTATACGTATTATTAATCAGAACAAAATCACTAATCCATATTTACATATTTATAGACACAGTTGATATGAAGTCACTCATCTTTTGTATACAGTTGTATTTTTGTATCTAGGTGACTTGAATATTTTCAACATCCAGATCAACTAGATATAAAGAAAAATTAATAGTAACTTCATGGGTCGATGGTTATTTCATTGTAATAGTTATTATTTGTTAGCTTGTTCGTGTTTTTGAGACAAAGTCTCTTGTTGCCTAACCTGGCCTTGAACTTACTTTGTATCTGTGCCTAACCTTGAAGCCCTGATGGTTTGTTTCCATTCCCAGGTGCTGACAGATGTATTGTTAAATCACGTACTAAGTTAATAGACCTTAAGGTGATGTCAGAAGCTAATGATGCCTTAGCAGTTGTAAACTTTGTTTCAGGAAGGAGAAAATATTTTCTACTTGGCAGTTGATGATATAGAAACAGATACAGAGCTTCTGATTGGGTACCTGGACAGTGATGTGGAGGAGGAAGAGGAGGAGCGACCAGCTCTGACCGTGACCAAAGAAGGCAAAGTTGACCACTCTAAAGGACAGTCAGCAGCTGGAAGCAAAGGTACAGCATCTTTGTTTGATGATCTGAAGGAAGGAAAGTTGAAGTGGAAGGTAGCTGGAATCAAATTATGGGTGGGTGTTAGGATGTGGTATTGTTGAAATAGTTTTTCTCAAAACTATTCTACACTTTTGACTAGCAGGAAGAAACTGTTTAGGTGAGCAACAGAGGTGTCCTGTATGATGGCCAAGGTAAGAGGCAGCTCTGTCCTTGCTGTCACTGTGGTAACACATAGTGAAGGGCTGTGTCCTCCTGCACTGGCTCTGCCAAAGGCCAGTAAAGAGGTGGCTCAGGCTTCAGGGATTTCGTCCCCATGTACCCGTGAGGAGGCCAGATGTGCAGGGTGGCCATGCTGTGTCCTGGAGATCTGTCTTCTTTGATCCTCTGGGAATCTGGACCTTCTGGAAATCTATTTCTATTCTGGTCACAGGAGCTGGCAGGATGGCTAATTTGTCCTTGTGTGGGAATCAAAAACTTCAAGTGACCGTAGGTGAAACCTGCAATTCAAGAGAGAGATAGCAGTTGGTTATCAACTGCCATGAAATAATCAGTTATTTTTGGGCCCATGTTTTACTCCTGCAGAGAATTTGAGGTAAATAGCCATAATGCTGTGCTGTAGCACACTGTGTCTTTGTCCATTTTACCGCACTGAATACTTTTAAACAGTCAGAAATTATTTGTTCACTCTCTGGCAGTTCAGATTCAAGGTGAGGGAACAGCACATTTGGGGTCTGACTCCTCTTCATTTGCAGAAGTGAAAACAAACACATACAAAAACAACCCCAAACCAGCAAAAGAAACAAAGATGCCGTTCACATGTTAAGCGGTGTAGACTCTGTGTGATTGGCACCTTACGTCTCTAAATGACTTGGAATTAGAAGGCCTGGGAAGAGCACCATGGGAAAGTGCACCTGACATATGGCCGCAGACACTGCTCCTCACAGACTGAATGCGTGTGGCCTTGCTCTGCACAGCTGTGTCTTCAGGGTGGTATTACTGGTTATCCTAATTTTGTCATATTCAGTACATTTTAACTCTTCATTTTATTGGAAAACTGCTCACAAATATGTAACTTTAATGGCATTCTGAAGAGCTTGGGTGGAACTCTGCCAGTCCTGTGGAACAGCAGGGCCTCACCCAAAGCACCTGCCTGAGTCAGTGCTGTTTTCAGGATGTGCCTTATTTCAAATATGCGTGAGATTCCCCTTTGGCAATTCAAGATAGTTTATGTCTATTGGACTTTTCTCCTTGCAAAGCTCAGAGTGAACAAAGATTATCTATTTTGCAGGAAAAGAATTGATTTGCAGTTCAGCATTTAATATCATTTCTGATCGGAAATATTACCATTATAAAGGAAACAAGATCAAATGTGATTTTGCATCACTTCCGTGAAACATTATAAAGTGATTTCTAAAATAGTTTTTTGATAACATTTTTGTTTTTTGCTTAATGTGGACAGTGTTAACATTTGTTAGAGCAATTAAAAATTGAGTGTAGTAGAGGCACTTTTTGTAGTTTAATTTTGAAATGGGTCAACACTAGTTTCTGGCTTGTGAACTCTGGGGTTGTACCGCTGCACAGGTCCCCTTGGCTGTGAAGAGGACTTTGCCTGTCCACAGTGTGAATCAAGCTTTCCCAGCGGAGAAATCCTTACTGGGCACCTGCAGTCCTTGCACCAGAAGCCCACCGGGGAGAAAGAGTTCAAGTGTGGGGGCTGCCGGAAGACGTTCCCCGTGAAGCAGGCATTGCAGAGACAGTGCGTACGCTTGGGGTGTTTCAGCTTGTGGACAAACACTCGCATTGTTCATGTCGCTTCATATAGATCTGAATATTGTGCCTGTGGGTAAAAGTATGTGCCAGCGTCTGTGGGAAAGTGGCAGTCAGCCTGCTTTGCCATGAGCTCATCTTTCCCGAGTTCTGAATGTATGAATCTTGTTGATAATCGTGAGGTAGATATTGTTATGGTAGCTCTTTTCTGTGTGTTTGATACTTGCCATTAAATACCGTGCTTAATGGTTTACTAATCTGAAATTTACATATGTATAGTATAATTTAGCCAGTAAATTGAGTTTCTTTACCAGGTTTCACTTACTTGCTCTCCAAATTGTTTTAAAAATATTTCAGTAATGAAGACTTGAGTGTAGCAATAATGGAAGTATGGGAAACACCATCTATTTCATAGTGACTTGAAAGAATAAAGATGAATGGGTCACAGTGTGATAGGGCAGTGAATTACGTAAATTTGCTTTTTACCTTATCTTAATAATTTATGCTTACAACATATAAAATTAGCTTCCATTTTAACATTTGGTAAGACCAGAGTTACCAAAATTGAGAATGTACAGAGAATCTCAACTTTCACACTTAGCAGACTGTCATATTACATGGATAAAACATCTTCCACACTTAATATTTCCTTTTTGTTTTGTTTAATTCCAAAGTATGCCATTTCGTTCCCATCTATCTGTCTGCCTATCTATCTATCTATCTATCTATCTATCTATCTATCTATCTATCATCTATCTATCTACTATCTATCATGTATCTGTCATATATGTATAGATACGGCATTTCTATATATTATATACATTAGCTTTTGCTTATGAAGTATGAAAAATTTTTATTTACGTATAACAAAACTTTGAAAATATGATACTTTAGGATGGATTAAACATTTAGAAATTTTATTAATTGTTTCTAAAAAGCAATAATTGTGTACTTGTTAAATAGTTAGCGTTAGCCTGTATTCTAGTCAGCTTTTATATGTATTTTGTTGCACTGTATTATATTTTGAGCTATAGCTTAGGTCTAAATAGGGTACCTTTAAAAATGTAGGCGACCACGGCACGGTGGCTGGAGGACGGAAGCATACCTCGACACTCTGGCTTTCTTCCCCCTCTCCCTCCTCAGCGTTCTTCACTGCACAGCCATAAGCAGCCTGAATGATTCTCCACAAATTTTCAGTGTTCTGCTTGCAGTTCTTCTTTCAGTTCAAGAGTGAAGTTTAGTGTCTAGTTATAAAATGACTTTTACCAATTGGCATGCATAATTTCATAGCCACCACAAGTCAGCATTCCACTAAGTAAACCGAAGGGTTTAAATACATCTGTATCACCTACATAATTAGTGCATGAAATGATCCCTGCAGGAAGCATGTCCCAGGAGGCGTGGGTTCCAGAAGCCCGCTGTGATGTTTGAGTCTGGAGGTATGTCTTCATCATTTCTTCTGCCCCTCTTGCTACCTGTCTTATAGTTTTGAGCAGCACCAGAAGGCTTGTCGAGGGGATGCCAGGTTTGTGTGCAAAGCCGACAGCTGTGGGAAGAGGCTGAAAAGCAAGGATGCTCTGAAAAGGCACCAGGAAAATGTCCATACTGGTGAGGAGGCATTGGCCCATCTTTACTAACCTGGCGCCCCGTCCGCAGGCCGCGGGCTCTGTTTCCGGTTCTCTTCTGTGAGGAGGGAGCTGGCTTCCCATTATGCGTCCCCCACGCACATCTTACTTGTTGGTGCGTTTCACTGAGCAATATTTTCCCAAGTTGATTGCAGCAGCATTTACCATTTTCCTCGTGTCTGAATAAACCATTACTGTAATCCACTCTCACGCTTAGCTGTTCTTGTCACTCAGGTATACTGTTTGATCATTTCACTGTTTTACTCTGCCAACTTCATTTTTTTATACTTGTTGACATTGAGAATTTGTAGGTATACTTTGAAACTATGAAGTGATGGACTTCTGCCTTAATATTTTTGCAGAAACATTTAGTGCCTTTAGTGTTTGCATTTCTTAAATACTGGAGAGAATTCCTAACCACATTTAGGCATGGATTTGAAAATATTTGAATTTTCAGTAAACACTTGCTTAATTCCTTGTAATCACTAGCCAAACAATAAAACAAATAGAATGTTTGATTGTCACCTAGGATTTTGTCCTTGGTACTTTCTAGGCCATCAGTGAATATATTTTGGCTTGTGATGTCTGTTGCACTGTAGGGCCTTTTCTTTTCTTCTCTGTCAGTTTGGTAACGGAGTCTGAGGCCTACGGAAACCGGCTGTCGGTATACACATGTCCTTTTCTCATGTATTTGCTTTTACCTTCACTTCTGGGAAGTGAGCGAAAATGTGCCTTTTGATAGGCAGGAAACTCTTTTCTTCTTTATCGTTTTATTCTCACAAGTATGTGAAAAGAGTGATTGATACCTGACATCGGGACCTCTGTTGCCTGAAAATAACTGACTTTAATAATAAGGTGGCAGAGGTTAGCATGAGTCTGAGTGCAGGCCTTACTTCATCACTGACCAAGCCTGCACACTGAGCCATGAACAATGGTCTGGTGGCAGAAGGTGGAGCTTTTTGTGCTAACCTTCAGGGGATGCCAATCATGAAGACTTCCCAGCATTGTTCTGTGGCTTTCTTTTTGAAGAACATATGGCTGGTGTATGGAAAATGACTTCCCTGCTGAATTTAAAATATACTGGTGCCTTTTATATGATGGCAGAAGCAGGCATAACTTTTTGATAGATTTGCCTTCATTTTTTTATGCTGTTTTGGCTAAAATGCTGTTCTTAATTTTCTCCATCTTTGTATGCAATGTATTTTAACCAAACTTTTATGTCAGTTTTAAAGTCAACTTTGCTGAACTAAGTGAAAAGCCAGATGGATGTTACAACTCTGGAAACTCTTCTGTCCTCATCACTAGGCATATGGTCTTCCTGCTGTGCTTATAGTATAATTTTTGAGTCTTCTTGTAATTGGCCTTGGGTTGCTTACTATTGCAGCTTTGGGGCATTTGTGGTGATTTTGCAGGAAACCATTCATACATGGAGAGTGTTTCATCATTGTTATCCCATGTTGTAGGTTGCAAGAGGATGTGAAAGCTGTTGTATTTTAGCTCGAGTCTCCATGTATACCTTTCACTTGGTTTGGCACATGATTTCAATTCCTCATCCAGAAGCTCTCTCTGCTTCTCCTCTTTTATCTAAAGCAGGGATGATGGGGAGAGCACTTCCTGTTATAGCAAGGAGAGCAGCACTCAGGAATGGCTGGGAACAACAGAGGTACCCAAGGAGCTAGGAAACCTTATTACTTCTATTCTGATTGATAATGAAGCATGTCCTTGTTAGGTGACATGACCTCTAGGGGGTAAAAGGGAGAGAAGCTTAATATTTAAATGTGGGTCAAACATCTTTTATTTTATGTGTGTGAGTCTTCTATCTGCATGTACACCTGCATGCCAGAAGAGGGCATCAGTTCACATTATAGATAGTGGTTGCCGGGAATTGAACTCAGGACCTCTAGAAGAGCAGACAGCGCTCTTAATCACTGAGCCATCTCTCCAACCCATCATGTCCCTGGGTCAAACATCTTTTGGGTAGCAACCATAGCATATGGTGGGTAGGTTTGTGAGTGAACAAAGTTCTATGGCTTCCCTGACCATCATTTGCTTCTGTGACTGTTACTGTAATTTGTTGTTGTTGTTTGTTTTGTTTTTCTGGCTGATAATTTAACTCAGTGCCTGACCCTACCACTGAACTCTATCACCATATCTCCAGCCCTCCTAAAAGTTATGTGTACCTGAATATCAGAAGCCAAAATTCTGTGGATTTTTGTGGATGCTAAGAAAAAGGTTGCATTTATGAGAAATAATATTTTCTGTATCCTCATAAGCTATTTGCTTATTTTTGTATATAAATTCAGTATTCTAGTTGTAACTGAAGAAGAGGTGTGAGGAAGAGAGAAAGAAAGAGTAGAAATGGGGGTTGGTACTGAAGCAGAGGCAGGAGTGGAGGGTTAGGTGAAATAAATAGTTGGAGATATCAACTTCTTTCTCTCTTCCCCTCCTTTTACCTTTATGGGAAAGCCAGGACCTGGTCTCAATAAAGAGGTGTGATAAAGAACTATGCCAAGAAGGTGGACAATCCCAAATAATGGGAGTTGGAAAGGATGGAATGTTTACTCTCAGTGGTCTTTCTGCAATATATGTACAGACTGATGAACAAGTACATACAGGCTAATATTCATTTTGCTGTGGGAAGAAGGTTTTTTTTTTTTTTTTTTTTTTTTATCCCTATTGTCACCACCAAACAAATTTTCTTGGCTATGTAGTCTGGAGAGTGTGTTAAACAGGTCAAATATACCTGCTGTTACTTTGAATACCTTGTTATCTTGAAAAGCAGGATGAATAGTCCTACCTTTCTTTCCCTAAATGTTTACTTTCCTTTTATAAACATAGTTCTGCACTATAATCTCACAGCGCTGTGACATTAGTTTTGTTGCCATAGGTTCCTGTCGTTGATGCGGGTGGTGAGAATGGGTGTGGGCTTCACCTTGTTTGGGTGAAGTGACAGGCACATGGTGCTACATTATGTTAAATATTTACTTTGGGAGTTTTTAAATCTATAACTTAAAGTTATAAAATATCGTTTTGAGACTGTTTGTGTTGGTACAGATAATAAGGCCCTGACATTGCCTTTTGAAATTATTTTTAGTCTTTTATTTAATTGCTGTGTAGTTTGAAACATGAAATGAGCCCCTATAATCATTGTAAAGGAAGACAAAATTTAGTTTTGGTTTGATTGTCTAACAGTGTAGATTGCCAATTCAATACATTATTGTGGTTGGTTTTACATTGTACTATTTAAACACTTATTTAATAAGATATGGGCTCAAACTCTTTAGGAATTTAGTACTGAAAGAATTGTCTATGAATAACAGTGAAAAGAAATCTCTTGCTGAAAGATAAAGGAAATGGAAGAATCAATTTATGAATTAACATGTTCATTTTTCCTTTAAAAAAGCACATTTATTTTAATTTTGCTTTGACATTTTGTAGAAACTTTCTAAGTATTATTTTAACAGATGGGAGAGCAAAAAGTTTATTTGATATATAGAAACTGATGAGCTGGGACATTCAAGTTTGGAAGGAAAGGCTTGAGTATACAGCATAGAATTCTAAGTCATGACAGTGAAATCATGTAGAGGAGGTACTGAGTCAACCTCAGTTAATCTGTGATGGTGTTTCATTCCTGTCTTAGGTGATCCTAAAAGAAAGCTCATGTGCTCAGTATGCAATAGAAGGTGCACCTCAGTGTCAAGCCTGCAGGAGCACAGGAAGGTGGGTGAGAGCCTGTGTGTTGGCTGTAAGGCCTTCAGGTACGATCAGCCCCGTGCACATGTGGATATTGATTTAAGACAGAGCTTAGCTAGCCAGGTACAGTGTGTTCTACACGGCAGGAGCAGTGTGCAGAGGGGTGAGCTGCAGAAGAGATAAAGTTGTGTCGTTCATGGTTAGCTCACAGATTCTTCAGTGCAGGAGTCACGCGTGTCTAGCTGGTTCCCACAGAGCACCCACCATGTTTTCAAGACTTTTCAGTTGGTGTTTGCTCAGAAAACATAAATCAGTCACTTAAAAACATACTTTTTTTTTTTTGCTCAGATTTTGCCTTTTTTATTAAAATGAATACATAGTATAGCTTAGTTTGGTACAAAATGAGAGCTGGATGATTTTAAAAGACCAAAACGAATGTAAAAAGAGTGATATGTACTGGCACTGTAGTATTTTTCCTTATTTTTTTTTCTTCATCCTATTTTTGACATTAAACTAATACAGTATGTTTATAGATAGCTTTATGTATCCAAGTCTCATTAGGAAAAAAACTATAGTAGTAGAAAATGTACTTAATATTTTGAAATAAAGTATAATAATTACTGTTATCTTTGTATAATAGGCTAATGTTAAAAATTAAGCATCTATTCAATAGTAAGTAGTTGATAGAGAATATGATGGAATGAAAATATGATGTAGATTTTGTTTATGTCATTATAGAGTCCCCATTATCTCCCAATTTTATATGTTACATTATTTAGTATATCTAAGAACATGAAAAAAATTTCAGTGACTTGATATTTAGAGGAGATATTGCTGATGAGTATAAAAGCTTCACTTTTCTTGTGAATTGTAAAATGTTTTCTATGTATTTGCATTCATGCCGTTTTATTATATAGCAATTTGGCAGGACTTAAAGCTTATGTGCCTTTTCATCTACTAGTTCCAAAGTCTGATCCATAGATTTAAATCGTGACAAATGAAATCGTTCCTGTCATGCTGACATGTGTGGAGTTGTCTCCTGGATTGCTGATAAAGGCTGTTTCTTCATCTGTCAGTAGGTCTCCAAGCAACATTCGGCTGGATTTCTCATTTCCGAAAAGGGACATTGAATTGATTAGAATTTTCTGTTCATTCTCGTAGTTGTTGCTGGTGTTTACCGTTTTCCAGCTGGTGATTGTATGAGGTTGTTTGAAGATGTGATATGCCTCTTGGATCTGGGCGTCATTCTGGTACCTGGGCCAGGCTATTCTGCTTCGTAGCATGCAGCCTTTAGTATGTCTGCTGCAGTTGCAGAATGCCCGTCTACACACTTTCTAGCTTCACCCCTTAAATCGTGTATGTGTATGTACGTGTGTAGACATGTGATTGCAGGCATGCACTTGCCATGCACACATGTGGAGACCCGAAGACGTCTCCGTTTTGGTCCTGTCTTTCTACCTTGATTGAAACCTTGTTCCCTGTTGCATGTACCAGATTGTCTGGCTCATGAGCTTCTAAGTCATCTCCTTTCTCTGCCTCTTGTGCCTTCCTAGGAACTCTGGGGTTGCAGACAAGCTTTTATGTGGGTTCTGGGGAGCTGAATATAGAACTTCATGATTACACAGAGTCTTCTTTATCCACTGAGTCTCTCAAGGTCCTGTAGGCCCCTTTTTTCTTTAATTAGTGCTAGGATGTGGCAAATAGAGACTTAGTCTGAGGCAAAAGTATTAACTCTGTTGCAGTATGTATTTATAAATGTCCTCATTTGAAAGTTTATGACTTATTTCCTGGATCTACTTAATCTTCTATTATCATGTTGAAGATATTTTACAGAGTATTTTAACAAACTTATTCATGAGCCTGTTTTGACTAATGCCTTATTTTAGATACTTTCTCTATAAAAGATTAACTTGGCAGACAAAAAGGTATACATACCTGTTGGTGGATTACAAAAGGTACAGCTGTGCCTTCAAGTTATGAAGATTTGCAGAATGTTAATAAGTTGTTACTCAAGTAAACTTGCACCTGTTGTAGAGTAGTCCCTCAAAGCCCTTCTTCATACGAAGGAGGTTTGAGTAAATCCAAAAAATGTCAACCATTGAAGCTGGCCAGCTCTAATGTCTAATGGAGGTTAGTTGCAGTATTTCACCTTGACAGCAGATGGCACTTTATAACAATACTAAATTACAGCATAGCGTAGTCATTTACATTACAGCATACTATTTTGTATTGTAATAAAGTACATTATGATTTTTATTTAAAGTTATTTCATTTAGGACTTCATGTAGTAAATTATCACCTTGAAAAATCAGGGTAGAGAATTGGAAGTTCAACAAAACATGTTTTCTCAACATTAGGCATAATTAAATAGTATTGCCTGTCATTTGTCTGTAAAGTTTTGTTAGAAGTTTAAAAAATACTGATGGCCTTAATTTTCCACTATAAATAAAATTGTTAATGCAAAAAGCATTAATTCAACCTTGGAAAATGTCTCATGTTTAAAAACTATGAGAGTTAAAATTTGAATAAATATGAGTGTTTTGTAGTATTTTAACAGTTATAGTATCCAATACATAGATTAATATTTTATTAATATAGATTAATCTATATGTTAGTATAGATTAATATTTTAACATTTTTATAGCAACACAATTTGAATATTAAAAAGGCTTCATTTTTTTCATTTTTTTCTTTATTAATTACACTTTATTCACTTTGTATCCCCCCTGTGGTTCCCTCCCTTCTCCCATCCCAATTTGTCCCTTCCTCCACCCTCTGCATGTATGCCCCTCCCCAAGTCCACTGATAGGGGAGGACTTCTTTTCCTTCCTTCTGATCCTAGTCAATTAGGTCTCATTAGGAGTGGCTGCAGTGTCCTCTTCTGTGGCCTGGTAATGCTGCTTCCCCCTCAGGGGGAGGTAATTAAAGAGCAGGCCAAGCAGTTCATGTCAGAGATAGTCCCTCTTCCTATTACAATGGAACTCACTTGGATACTGAACTGCCATGGGCTACATCTGTGCAGGGGTCTTAGGTTATCTCCATGCATTGTCCTTGGTTGGAATATCAGTCTCAAGAAAGACCCCTGTGTTCAGATTTTTTGGTTCTATTGCTCTCCTTGTGTAGTTCCTGTCCTCTACAGGTCTTACTGTTTCCCACTTCTTTCCTAAGATTGCACTCTGCCCAAAGGTTGCCCATAAGTCTCAGCATCTACATTGGTAGTCTGCAGGGCAGAGCTTTTCAGAGGTCCTCTGTGTCAGGTTCCTGACTTGTTCCTTCTTTTCTCCTTTTTCTGATGTCCAGCCTTTTTGCCTTTCTGGATAGGAATTGAGCATTTTAGCAAGAGTCCTCCCTCTTGATTAGTTTCTCTAGGTGTACACATTTTAGTAGGTTTATCCTGTATTATATGTCTATGTGAGTGAGTATATACCATGTGCATCTTTCTGCTTCTGGGACAGCTCACTCAGGATGATCTTTTCCAGATCCCACCATTTACCTGCAAATTTCATGATTTCCTTGTTTTTTATTGCTGAGTAATATTCCATTGTGTAGATATACCACAATTTGTGAATCCATTCCTCCACTGAGAAAAGGCTTCATTTTTATGACACTGAAGATTTGTCATTTTAATCTTGTTATCATTATAAAATTGTATATTAAATATTTTTACACCCACTGTTTAAGAATATAAAGCTGCACTTACCAGCTTTAAATAAACATCACCTATCCTTAGCTGAAGCTCGCATAGGCATTTGAGGGCCAGAGACTGCCAATCCTTCCTCTGTGCCCTGTGCCTCTGTGCCCTAGTTCCTCCAGCAGTGGCTGCACAGGCTCCACACTGCAATCCATCCCAGCTCAGAACTGAGTGTAGCTGGGTCCCTGCATACGGAGAAGACAGACCCCAGAGGACTGATGTCTGGTAGAGACTAGCTGCCTTCTCCCTTTTCCAGGCACACACACACAAGCTTTAGCTCACTAAAGAGAAAAATAGACAGAGGAGGCTTTTCAAGCTTAGATATACCATGGCATGGCAGAGTGTAAGGCCAGCTGACAGGCCTGGATCTGTTACCCTTCTGCCACCAGCTTTTCTCCTTCTTTTCACCCTTCCTATCATGGCAACTTAGATCCCAAGACAGCCTCATCCTCTAGTCATGCACAGTGTCAGTCATGCTGATCTTTTTCTCTGCGGCATCTAGTTATTTTGTAGTGACAGACACAGCTTTGGCTCCCTGAAGCAGGGATTTACTTGTACTGTCAAGAGAAGCTAGTTTTGAATCTAAGTCCAGGAGTTTGATGCCCTTGGTCTTTGGGTGGCCAGCATTTCTCCAGGCAGGCTTCATGCCATCTGCCTCTTAGTGCTGAATACTTCCTTCTGATAATAAAGTGGGCTTCTGTTTTCCATACCAACTATTTTATGGTTTGAGATAGAAAAGACTAATATAGTAGTAGCCCATTGTAACATTTATATTAGCTTATGTGTTAAAGCTGTGTTCTGAGACGCTATATTCAAAATACATTTTGTTCATTTGTACTTAAAGTATACAACATGCCATGAGACACATGTATGTGGTAGAACAGTTACAAAAGTGAGACAACTTCACATTCAGGTCTCATGTATTCATCCAGCCCCACGTCAGAGCTCCTGTAATCTATGTATTCAACTGAGAATTCCTGACCACAGCATTATTAATACACTGTTGGCCATGTCGCTTACGTTTGATGCAGGACCAGTCATTGTCTGTATGGGCTACTTTCTACAGTCCAGCATTTTTATTTCACTGGGAACCTAGTGCTTTTAGATCAGCTTCTTGCTGACCTTGCACTGCAGTTGCCATTTGGTCAGTACTCTTGCATTTTAAGTATTAATGACTATTCTAAAAGGCATATTATATCATGGGTAACATATTTCCCACTCTAAGTTTTATTTACAACACAAGTTAATATATGTTGCTTGTGAACATTTTTTACAATTTGTAGATTTACTACATACAAATTGGGCAGCTATGCTCTACATGGAGCAGACTTAGAGCGGCGTGAGCCCAGCACGAAAAGCTGTCCATGTGTTTACATTTTTGCTTTTGTTTAACAATTGGTTTAACTGTCAATTCAATCTTTTTCAGATTCATGAGATATTTGATTGTCAAGAATGTATGAAAAAGTTTATTTCTGCTAATCAGCTGAAACGTCACATGATCACCCACTCAGGTGAACTGTGTACCTCTTACAAATATTGAAATCACTGCAAAAGAATTACTGTCTTCTTCAAGAAACCATGACAGAAGGGGGAGATAGAAAGACCTTGGTGGGACAGGAGCTCCACAAGGAGAGCAACAGGACCAAAGGATCTGGGCCCAAGGATCTTTTCAAAGACTGATACTCCAACCAAGGACCATTCATGGAGATAACCTAGAACCCCTGCACAGATAAAGCTCATGGCAGCTCAGTGTCCAACTGGGTTGCCTAGTAAGGGGAATAGGGGCTATCTCTGACATGAACTCAATGGCTAGTTCTTTGACCACCTCCCCCTAAGGGGGAGATGACAGCCTTACCAGGCCACAGACGAAGATAATGCAGACAGTCCTGATGAGACCTTATAGGCTAGGGTCAAATGGAAGGGGAGGAGGACCTCCTCTATCAGTGGTCTGGGGAAGTGATATGGGATGATATGAGGGAGAGAGGGTGGGATTGGGAGGGGTCGAGGGAGGGGGCTACAGCTGGGATACAAAGTGAATAAATTGTCATAAATTAAAAAAAAAAAGAAACTAAAATGGAGTAATCAGAAGCCCTGGCTATAAGTTCTAGCTTAGTCATATGATTTCTAAATTCTTAGTTGTCTTGAACTGGATTTGTTTATAAGGCAAAGGTTTTTGGCCACAGGATATGAAAGGTCTTCAGAAATCACCATTTAATTTGGGACCTTCGTTTCTTTACTCTTTATTTGTGATGTGGCATCCTGGTACTTGTCAAAAGCACTTTGAAAATAAATAAGACCATTTACAAGATGTACTGGCATAGTGTTTGGCATTTAGTGGAGATTCCACAAGTATTGTTTTGATTATGTTTCTAGATACTTTTGCATTCTATTTATGGTGCTCATAAAATAGAAAAATATATAAATATTTTGAGAAAAAGTTATTTAGGTGTAAGTTAAACAATTTTGAGTACTAGGCTTCTTTGTCATTGTTTTTAAACTTATAAAGAGACTAAAATTGTATTGAAAAGAACTTTTATCTTATGGCATTCTTTTAAAGAATTTAGAAAGATTATAGTTTGAGGATTTTGAAATAAATGTTTTTGAACATCCAGATGGTTTGGAGGAAGATTAAGTGTTAGTGAGTTAAGGTCAGTGACTGAACGCTATTGGCTTTCAGGTGTGCTTTGTCTGATGTGCCCCGGATTGTTTTCTTGCCTGTTAACATTATGTGCCTGTTCCATAACTGCGGATGTTATAACCTTTCAAAACCCTTGGCTCCTGCTGAAGCTAGGGAGATCTGCCCCAGAGCCTTCCTGGTGCTCTGTGATTACGTCTGTCACTAACAGATCTCTAAGCACTAAAAATAATCGATCAAACACACACTTTTATCTTTTCATGTAGAAATAGAATTTGTGCTTTGAATTTAAACTTTATTTCCCAAGGGTTAACTTTAAAAGTGTGTCTACATAGGAATAAGCATTTTCATCTTAATTTGTGAATACTCGCATGTCAATCGCTGATGAACTATGTGGGACCCATTTCTCTGTGCCTGTCTGACCGTACTTTAATTTGTTTATGCATAAGATGTAATTGCAGGAAAGGATGCTTCCCCTTGGCCCTTGACCTTCATAGACATGTGAGCTTGTCTCTGCTCATTCTTCACAGAAAAGCGACCTTATAACTGTGAGATCTGTAACAAGTCATTCAAGAGACTCGATCAAGTGGGCGCCCACAAAGTGATCCACAGTGAAGATAAGCCCTATCACTGCAAGCTCTGTGGAAAGGGGTTTGCTCACAGAAATGTTTATAAGAACCACAAGAAGGTAAAGACACTCATTAAGGCGCTATTTCCTTTGTGCTGATAGGGTTTCTGTTGGTCTCTTCACCAGATTTGGCAGATCTGTGGCTTTCGACAGGAAGTGAACAAGGTGGTTAGAGATGATCCTGCTTTTGCTTTCTCAGCACTCACTTGGACCAATGATGTCTGGCTTCTCTTCTCTTCTTCACTCTCCAAAAGCTGCTCTCTTAGGCAGTTTCCTTGTGAGTCTTGAGTTGATTAAGTTAAGTCTCAGCTGCTACTTAGCTCCAAGGACCCTGAGGTTGTAGCACTTTCTGTTTCTATTCTCTCCATTCTTTCCATGTTTAGATAGTCCATTCACCTTTCTCTGAGTTTCTTGTAGTGCCCTTTGCTAGGTCTGCCCTTTCTGCTGGGTGTGTTTTAGACTTTGTGTTAGTTTCCTATGGCCTGAGCCAACCTACTTACTTAAAAGACTGGTTTATTGGGCTTGCTTCAAAGCCTGGCCTCAGTGGTTGTCTGGATCTGTTGTTTTTATACTCAAGATAATGCAGAGCCTTACTGTGGGGATGCAGCCTTGCTTCTCTCACTGTGACCAGAAGCCAAGAGGTATGAAGGGATGAAAAGAAGTGCCTTATTTTATTTTTATTATTATTATTTACATTTTATTAACTCTGTATCCCAGCTGTATCCTGCTCCCTTATTCCCTCCCAATCCCACCCTCCCTCCCTCAGCTTCTCCCTGCCCTTTTCCAAGTCCACAGATTGGGGAGGACCTCCTCCCCTTTCGTCTGGCCCTGTTTTATCAGGTATCTTCAGGACTGGCTGCAAAGTCCTCCTCTGTGGCCTAGCAGAACTGCTCCTCCCTTGGGGGGTGGGGAGGTCAAAGAGCCTTTCTTTCATTGAGGTCCTGTCAGAAATAGCCCTGTTCCCCTTACTATGGGAAACCAATTGGTTATTGAGCTACCACGAGCTTCATCCGAGCAAAGGTTCTAGGTTATATCCACACATGGTCCTTGGTTGGAGAAACAGTTTCAGAAAAAAACCCTGTGCCCAGATATATTTGGTCCTTGTGGGACTCCTATCATTTCCACGTCATACTAACTCCCCTTCTGCTGAAGGTTTGGTTATGATCAATCCTCACTTAGAAAGAAAAATGAGATGTGCATTGGACATATGACAGGAGTCTACCGCAGAAGGCATCTGAAAGACTCTACCAAGCAGCGTTTCAAAACAGATACTAAGAAGTGCCTTCTTAGAGGACATTCTTTTCAGGGATGTGACATCTTCCTTTAAACTGCACCCCCTACAGGGCCCACTGTTTCCCCAAAAGCACTTTCAGTGAAGTACCATGCCTTCAACATAAGAATCTTTTTAGTGACAGCTAAGTTCTTAACCGTATCCATAACCACCTGCACTTGAAGAGGCCCTAGAATTCTGTGTGCTCTCTTTATGCCGGATGCCCATGCCAACATGACTGTGCTGTCAATGCTAACTTGGAAAAATCCAAGAAATTCACTTTCTTGAAAGATTTTTGGAACCTACTTGGAGACTGAGTCTATGGGCTACCTCTGAGCAGGGGTTTTAGGTCCTCTCCATGCATGGTCCTTGGTTGGGGTATCTGTCTCTGCAGAGCCCGCAAGGCCCAGTTTTTATGGCTCTGTTGCTCTCCTTATGGAGTTCCTGTCCCATCCAGATCTTTTTATCTCCCCCTTCTTTCCTAAATATCCATGCATTTTGCCCAAAGTTTGACTATGAGTCTCAGCCTCTGCTTTGATACCTCGATCAGTAGAGCCTTTCAGAGGCCCTCTGTGATAGGCTTCTGTCCTGTTCCTTGTCTTCTCCTCCTTCCAATGTCTATCACATTTGCCTTTCTGAATGAGGGGTTGTCTCTGGCATGAATTCAGTGGCAGGCTCTCTGATCACCAACCCCTTTGGGGTGGGGGGTGTAGCCTTGACAGGCAATAGAGGAAGACAATGCAACCAGCCCTGGTGGGACCTTATAGGCTAGGGTCAGATAGAAGGGGAGGAGGTCCTCCTCTACCAGTGTACTAGAGGAGGGCATGGGGGAGAACCGGGGCAGGGTGAAATTGGGAGGAGACAAGGGAGGGGGCCACGGCTGGGCCACGAAGTGAATATATTGTAATAAATAATAATAATTTTAAAAAAATTTAAAAAGAAAAAAAGGAAAGATTTTGGTAGTATGTTTATCCTTATGCAAGAATTTTTTTTTTATATTCTTGCTACAGGCAACTTTTGATGTTTTTTTTTCTTTCTGTAAATGGCAGACATGTATAATTATTTAACGTTCTCTCTTCAATCTTGGTTCCTTCATAAATGTAGAAACCAGATCACAAGTGTTTTCCCTGTCCGTCTGTTGTTTCAATAAGTCTTGACCATCACCCTTTTGATCTGTACAGTGCTAAGATGAAACTCAGGGCCTTGACCACATTTGGCGAATACCACTGAGCTTCATGCCCCTCCCCCACGTGCAGTCTTTGACTGTTTCAATGTCCTGATAATTCTCTTTCCTCTTGATCCCTCGTAAACTTATCTAAGTAGGCTTTTGATACTTAGCACTTCTCAGCACAGCCTGCTCTACCAGGTGAGCCTACAGGTGTAACTATTACATCATTCTACGCTCCTGTGATATGGATGTCAAATGCTTTGCACGTTTCAATGCATGTATATCCTCCCTTCAATGGAGCGCCATCCGGGCTCCTTCTCAAACTTCTCTTCACGGCTTTGCATTAAGCACACCTAAAACAACTTGATAACTTGCTTTCTCCTGTTCTCATTAAACGGACTTCAGCAGGACTAGAGTGGTGACTCAGCAGTTAAGAGCACTGGCTGCTCTTCCAGATTGGGTTCAGTTTCCAGAACCCACATGGCAGTTCACAACCATCTATTACTACAGTTTTAGGGGATTGGATGCCTCCTCTGGCAACCTCAGGCACCACGTACATAGTGGTACCTAGACATGCATACAGGCAAACTACTCTTTTACATAAAATAATAATGCAAAATTCAAAAACCTCTCTGTGTGTGTAAAAGTAACTTATATTCGCCAGTTGTAATTGTTGCCTGGGAGGCTTACTGCTACGACCTCCATCTGCTAACCTAGGCCTAGCCTGGAAGCTTCTAGCCTCCGTACAGTCTAATCTAGGCCTAGAATGTTTTCAGCCTCTGAGACTTATTGCCGAATAAGCTTACTCGTTCTAGATCTTTCTGAACCCTGGCTGGTTCAGCTCAGCTGTTCTGGCTCAAATTCCTCTCCAAGCTGCTTAACCTCAAACTCTAGCAATCTATTCTAATCTTCTGCCTCCTTCTTATTCTCTGGCTCATTCTGTCTTCACCTGTTTCTAGCCTGTTCTTTCTTCAACTTAGTAAAACTGTCCCACTAAAACTGCTTCCTCCCTCTCTCTTTGCTCTCTCTTAACCTCTCTTTCCACTCTGTTCTCGGGAAAGTTGAGCATATCCTACTCTGTCAAATCTTTCTCTGATTGATTACTTTGTTTGTCTCTCAACTAGGCATCTCTTTCACACTGGCTGCTTCCTTCTGCCAATTTAATTTACCTACATTGTTTGGGATTAGAGGTGTGTACTAAGGGTGCCTGTCTATATTCCAGCCAGATCATACTGTAATCCAGGGCCTGTCTGCATTCCAGTCTTATCACATAGACATAGAAGGTCTTTGGATGTGATCCCTTACCAGAGCAGCCATATTGCTGGATTAAAATTCTTCTACCTCCCCCCCTCCTCTGTGTGTGTTATCCATCATAGTTCATGTGTAGAGGTCAGAGATACTTTCATTTTCCAGTTCAGATTGTTAGGCTCATAGCAAAAGTTTTTCACTGCTCAGCTACTGTAACAGTAGATACCTGCTTTTCTTTTACATGCTCTTTAACTTTTTTTCTTTAGATTATAGGCTCTTAGTTCTTCTGGACTTTGTTATTTTTCTCACTCTTCACCTTTGCTTATCTCTTCTTTTAGGGCATGTTAGCTTTAATGTCACCTTGTTTATTTTGTAACTAATTCATGTCCAAATTCAGGAATGTTGTCCTGGACATTCACCATCATAGAAATTTATGTGAAAATATAAATGATGTCAGAAATGCTTATTTATGGATGTAGGGGGAACATTTTACTATTTTTAAGGGAAATTATTTATTCATTGTTACAATGTTTAGTAGGTGTTGTAGTGACTTATCTATGAGGACTTTCAAGAAACAGCAATCTTTTATGAAAGCATTAAAAAGGATATCAATTTTAGTTTCTGTCCAAGAAGAAAAAGAAGTGGCAGATACATAAAAAAACAAGGCTGATTGATAGGTCCTTACATTGTCTCTGCCTGTTCTCTTGCTTCATGCCCCCACATTTAGCTCAAGGCCCACACCCTGGGAAGGGCTGTAGTCATTGCTGTTCCTTTGGAATTACTGTAAAAAAAATGTATTTGGCAAGTTTCCTGTTCAGACTCTGGAACCCTCTTAATCCTCTCTTTGATGAAACTGATCTGCCCACTTTTATGAGTTTTTCACAGTTTGGCTTATGTTATATGCCATATGGGAATTTGGCAGAGGATCTTTGCACTATCCCTCATACTTCTCAGCCATAAATCATATGAAAGTAATAATGATGTCTTAGGGAGGACAGAAACCATGATGGCTGTGATTTCCGAAGTGGAAAACATGCTCAATCCTTCTGCCCCCGGCACATATGTTTCTGTATTGTGTGTGTTAGTGTGGTTTGTGAAGATGCCTAAAATATTCAAGAATCATGTAAAAAAGTAACTCAACCTGTAGCTCCATAATTATCTATTAATGATCATTAAGAAAACTGCAAAATAATGATATATAGGGAAAGACAGAAAAAAAAATCATTAGCGGTCAGTCTTATCTCCATCCATGTAGCATGTCTAAATGCTCTTTTAAATAAATAGAATAATCCTTTGGATTTTGCATTTGTCTTTTATGCATTTTGTCATATTCATTTTTTTTTTTTACCTTTTCAGGTGGATTGTGGTGCTGAA